CAGACTAACGTGGCTATATCTTTGGGTTCTAGTACTGTGAGAGATGGGGAAAAATGTCTTGCAGTCTACTTTGCCACACCATGCGCCTCTATTCTTTCTTTCCCTACTCACCTTTCTTCTATGCTACATGGACCTCAAAGGTGGTCTTCTTCAGAAAGTTGCTTCACCCTCTTTATCATTTTGGTTGTTGTTTTCTGCACCTTTTCCATGTATGTTTAGGACTGATGTGCATTCAGATCAGACTGAATGCCTGGAGGGACTCAAGAGCCCCCCCCCCCCCAGCAAGCCCTAAACAACATAGCAAGGAGTGTTGGGAGTTATAGTCCATCTTCTGGTCATTGTTTATTGTGAACTGCCAGCAAGTTGGCTTCAATGTATAGTGACCCTCTGAATGGGAGACCTCTATGGGCTCATTCCCACTTACATTTAAACCGGTTTGCAATTCGCCTTCACTCCGTGTTGGTGAATCGATTCCAAAAGGTTCATGGTTCCCACCACTATGAAAGTAGGTCTTTTCATTATTCCCTTGTAACGGCTTCTTTTTTGACACGATTGTCATTCCCATTAGTTTGCGCCGCTTCAAAATGCATGTCAATCATCTGCGTGTCATCGGTGACGCAAGCGGCAACACAGTAAGGACAGGGCCATTCCAAACACCGAGTGGGACAACTTTAGCAACTGAACCTCAGCAACCCAGGATGCTCAAGCACATCATTTCCCCTTTGAACAGCCCGTCTTGGGAACTATATATATATTTGACAGGATATGCGATCCATTGGTTTTGCAACTATTTGCCTCGCTGAGCTGCAGTCCGCCCGTAATTGCAAGTAGTTGCAAATATGCTGGATCGCATATTCTGTCAATATACATATTGTATATTGTATATATATCATGCACCCAAAGGTGCATATATAATATATACATATTGTATATATATCATGCACCCAAAGGTCACACCACAAGCACAAAGGCAGCACTGGGGGGGAGGAATGGCTGATTTCCCAAAAACTGAGGAGGGATAGTAAACATCCCTCTGCCATTAGTTCCTCCCTTCCAGTATGATGCGATTCAAATCCATCATTCCCACTTATTGAATAAGCTTCGGAATCAATTCTTTTCAAAAGAACCACCAAACAACTAGTGTCAGGAAACAGCAGGGGGGAGTTAGCGTTTGCCTCACTTTATCGTGATTGAAACCAAGCTCAATAGAATCAGAACCGTTTTCAAATGGGAACGACAGTCATATAACCCAATCAGCAATTTGCTTTAAATCATAGTGGGAACGAAGCCTAAGTCATCTTATTATAAACAGCCATACTCAGATCTTGCAAAATCAGTGCAGCCATAGCTTCCTTGACTGAGTCAATGCACCTGTAACGTGGTGTTCTCTTTCCTACTGCCTTCTACATCTTTGAGCATCATCATCTTTTCCAATGAGTCACAATTTTTAAAGAAATTGTTGCTCTCCATTCTCTCATTCAAAAAACTTCATGAGTGGAGGCTTCTCAGCTGCATGTAATCCTGATATTCAGATTGTGTTGACAGTGATTTCTTTAAAAGCAGAAAGTCAATAGAGAGCAGCAAATACATTGGCACAATCAATATCCTAGTCATTTTTATTATCCTGCTTAACAACAGAAAATACCTGAACTATTAAGAAGGAAAACCCCTAAAAATTTAGATAAAAGCTTTGAAGAGTTTGTTTTATTAAAAATATACACACAATTGATCTGGATTTATAAAAGACATTTAGGCATTCTTTTTTATTTTTGTTTTGTAGTAGCTTTCAGAGGGCATTGAAAATAGACTAGGAAATAATGAAAATGACTGATTAAAGTTCACGTGCCCATTTATCTCGCCTGGGTGCCCAAAAGCCAGGACTGACACACAGCTATTCCTTAAGAATACATTGACATCATCTTAAGAAATGCTGAAAGTACAATACCCTCTGTAGGGAGAGTTTGGGCTTGATTTGCTCTAGGACCCATTTTGATTTGTCTTTTTAACAACTTTATCTGTTAAACTCTCCTCCAGCAGCACATTTCAAATTGGCTGATTTTCTTCCAGTCAGTTTTCTTCATTGTCTAGTTTTTGTAACAGAAATCAGAAATACTATAGCCTGGAGGACCCCTATTTTGGCATTCAATGACATACAATACCTGTCCTCCTTTTAAAAAAATTGGATTTTAATACCAGTCATTCAACCAAGAAGCCAGATTAAAAGACTGGAAGAACTGTGATAGAAATCAGCTTGTATTGAGGGGTACAGGACAGGTCATATTGGCTGACAAACAGTTAACTGATGTGGGGATTTTTGGTGGGTGCTGGCATTTAGCAGGTGAGCAAATACAGGTCAATAAGGACATAAGATATCAGCATCTCTTAGCAACACAAAAACCAAGTATCGACCACATTTATCTCCTGACCTTTTGGTCTGTACAAAAAAAGACCAACAAATGGAACATAAAATCCATGACCCCGACAGCTCCACCCTACATCCATGTTCTGTGTAGATGGAGAAGGATGAATACTTGTCTATTACCCTTCAGTTCCACGCATCCTTGTCTCAGAATCTTCTGGGTTCCCAACTTGGTGTTTCTTTTTCTCAGAATAGAAGAAGGTGGAAGACTGTCCCACTTTCTCAGTTGCTTTTAAAATGTCCCGCTTTCTTCTTTCATCCTGACCTTACTTCAATTGCTGCAAAGTTAGCTCAAAGTGCAAATGTAGTTTGTACTCCAATAAATCAGCAAGAGGGAAAGGATTTGACCCCTGGTCTCCAGAGTGGTAGTCCAACAATCAAATTATTAAATCACACTGGTTCTTCTTCTTATATCCCTCCTCTTTCCCAGCTAATTAGACACAAGGAATCATAGAATCATAGAGTTGGAAGAGACCACAAGGGCCATCCAGTCCAACCCCCTGCCATGCAGGAAATCACAATCAAAGTATCCCTGACAGATGGCCATCCGGCCTCTGTTTAAAGACCTCCAAAGAAGGAAGCTACACCACACTCCGAGGAAGTGTCTTCCACTGTTGAACAGCTCTGATTGTCAAGAAGTTCCTCTTAATGTTGAGGTGGAATCTCTTTTCCTGCAGCTTGCATTCGTTGTTCTGTGTTCTAGTCTCTAGAGCAGCAGAAAACAAGCTAGCTCCCTCCTCAATATGATATCCCTTCAAATATTTAAACACGGCTATCATATCAACTCTCAGCCTTCTCTTCTCCAGGCTAAACATCCCCAGCTCCCTAAGTTGTTCCTCATAGGGCTTGGTTTCCAGACCCTTCACCATTTTAGTTGCCCTCCTTTGGACACGCTCCAGTTTCTCCACATCCTTTTTGAATTGTGGTGCCCAAAACTGGACACAGTATTCCAGGTGGCGCCTGACCAAAGCAGAATAGAGTGGCACTATTACTTCCCTTGAACTAGATAATATACTTCTATTGATGCAGCCTAAAATTGCATTGGCCTTTTTAGCTGTGTTATCACACTGTTGACTCATGTTCAACTTGTGGTCTACCTGGACTCCTAGATTCCTTTCACACGTAGTCTCATTCAGCCAGGTGCCCCCCATCGTATGTCTGTGCTTTTCGTTTTTCCGCCCTAAGTGCTTTACCTTTCATTTCTCCGTGTTGAATTTCATTTTGTTAGCTTTGGCACAGCGTTCTTATTTATTAAGGTCATTTTGAATTTTCATCCTGTCTTCTGGGGTATTAGCTATTCCTCCTAATTTGGTGTCATCTGCAAATTTGGTAAGTATGCCCCCTCTTCTTTCATCCAAGTCATTGATAAAGATGCTGAATAGCACTGGGCCCAAGACAGAACCCTGTGGCACCCCACTGGTCACTTCTCTCCATTGCTGAACCCCCTTTGGGTTCGGTCAACCAGTTACTAATCCACCTAACAGTTGTATTGTCTAGCCCACATTTTACTATCTTGTTTGCAAGGATATCATGGGGGGCCTTGTCAAAAGCCTTACTGAAATCAAGATATGCTATGTCCACTGCATTCCCCTCATCTACCAAACTGGTAATTTTACCAAAAAAAGAGATCAGATTAGACTGGCACGACTTGTTTCTCAGATACCCATGTTGACCCTTTGTGATGATGGCATTGCTTTCTAAATGTTCACAGACTCTCTTTAATTTAATAATTTGTAAATTATTACAAATGTTGTATTATTATTACAGATTTAATAATTTATAAGGAGGCTTACAAATTATTAAAGCTGGTACAGATTAAGCATATATCAAATATCAAGATAGATGGATAGATAGATGATAGATAGATAGATAGATAGATAGATAGATAGATAGATAGATATAGATAGATTATGGGGAGGGGGGGAATAGACATGGAACAATTGCTGAAGAAGATCAAAGAGGAAAGTGCCAAGGTAGGATCAATGGTGAACATTAAGAAAACAGAAATAATGACCACAGAAGATCTGCAAGAATTTATTCTAGATAATGAGGAAACTGAAATAGTCAGAGTTCCCACATCCTGGATCAAGTATTGATCAGAACAGTGACTGCAGTCATGAAAACAGAAGAAGACTAGCATTGGGAAGGACAGCAATGAAAGAACTGTACAAGAACCTAAAGTGTAAAGATATACCTCTGAACACTAAAGCGAGGATTGTCTAAAGCACTGTATTCTCCATCAGGATGTATAGATGTGAGAGTGAAAAAAGCAGATAAGAAGAAAATCAACTCATTTTAGATGTGGTGCTGGAAAAGAGTGCTGGGGATACTCTGGACAGCCAAAAAGACAAACAAATGGGTCCTAGAACAGATCAGGCCTGCGTTTTCCGTAGAAGCTTTGTTGTTGTTGTTGTTGTTGTTGTGTGCCTCCAAGTTATTTTTTTACTTATGGCAACCTTAAGATGAACCCATCATAGGGTTTGGGGGTATGTTTCTTCAGAAGGGGATTGCCATCGCCATCCTCTGAGGCTGAGAGAGTGTGACTTTCCCCAGATCACCCAGTGGGTTGTTGTTTTTTTAATGCCTAAGCAGGGAATTGAACCCTGATCTCCAGAGTCATAGTCCAACACTCAAACCACTACACCATGCTGGGATGACTATGGGCCAAAACACACTGCAGAAATAATCCAGTTTAACACTGCTTTAACAGCCCTGGCTAAATGCTAGGGAACTGTAGTTTTGTGAGACATTTAGCTTTCTCTATCAGAGACTTCTGGTGCCACCACAAACTACAATTCCCAGGACTGCCTAGCACTGAGCCAAAGCAGTCAAAGGGGTGTCAAATCACATTATTTCCGCAGTGTGTTTGGGCCCAATACTGAGACTGCCGTACTTTGGCCACATCATGAGATGGCGTGAATCATTGGAAAAGACATTGGAAAAGATAATGAAAGGTAAAGAGCAGTAGAAAGAGGAAGATCTCATATCAGATGGATAGACTCAAACAGAGTCATGGGCCTGAATGTACAACACTAAGGACCTTATCACATGGGGCTCAATGCAGACAGAATCCAAACGAAATCCTGACCTAATACGTATTATTTTTCCGTGTGTCCACACGATGTCGCACAGAACCCCAACAGAACCCCGACAGAATGCGGAAAGAACCAAGATCTTTTGAATTTCAGTTTCTTTAGGAATTGCAATTAAGCGACGGGAATCATTTCACTTTTACCGTAGGTATGAAAACCCAATACGTATTGGGGAGTGTTTCCCCGCCTGTGCTCCAAGGAGGACCTCCTCAGAGAGCCGGCTTGGGAAGGGGTGACAGCCGCGGCTGTATTGCACATGTGCTAGAAGAGCATTTCTAGCACATGTGCGGGATTTTCTCACTTGTGTGTGAACGGCAAATAAGGTTCCCGGGAGCGCTTTCCTTAAAAGCGCGATGAAGGTAATTGTGTGTGATAGCCATTTGCGTATTGTGGGGTTTCTATCGCTTTAGTTCTGGATTTATTCTTATTTCACTTTATTATCGCTTTGTGGGCCACGTGTGATAACGTGGTCTTGGAGATGTCTCATCCACAGGGATCATCATGAGTCAAAGTCTACTCAATGGCAGTTAACAACAACGACAAGACTTAAAACCATCCGACATTTATTAAAAGATGGAATGTAGAAATCCACAAGACAGCAGACCATTAAGAGAGCGACCATCACAGTCCATTTCTAAGAGCATGGGGGCAACCAACTGAGAAGGTCCTCTCTTTTGTCCCCACCAAACAAAGCCTGGGAAGTGAGTAGGACACGCTCTCTTGAAGATCTTACAGTGTGAACAGGCTGATATAGGGAGATCTGTTCCTTCAAAGCTTTGCCATTTTTTATTTACTGCTTTAACATACCATAAAATGTATCCACGGGTGTTGGCTATATAGCAAAGTACTACATCATCCAAAATCCACAAAACAGTGATACCTTTACTGGGCCAACCAATACCAGCTATTGCTTTCTGTGTATGAGTGTTGCACCATCAGAGCCAATAAGAGACAGATTTTTTTCAGTCCATCTGGAATAAGAGGGAGAGAAAACATCCGAGCTCTTCTTTTTTTGCCTTGAACATGCAACCAGGTGGCTACGGAGCATGGGTGTCATCACTCAAAGCAAAAGTACCCTGGTCCTTTTCCAAGCGTTGTTACATTTCGGATTAAAAGGAAGAAAATTCTAGGATTCTCAGACGATAAATTCTGTGGCTTCGGTTGGGTGGAGGAGCTTGAAGGTCACTGGAAATGGCTGGTCTCAAACAATCCCCTTTTATTCTGAAAATTCTGTTTATTCCAAAACGTCTGCAGCAGCTTTGACGTTCAGGGCGATTGATGTTAAATGAATAATTTCCAAGCGAGCAGTTGTAAAAATGCTTTCTTTGTCAAAATAGAAGATAGTCAGAGAGAAAGAGAGAGAGAGAGAGAGAGAGAGAAGCTAGAAAAAAACAAAGGGGAAAAAATGTTTATTGTACAGTCTACTTGAAGATAATTCAAAGTGCAATGATGGAAAAAATGGATGCATAAAAGATGGGAGCATCTGTTTCTCACATTGCTGATATAATAACCAAACTGGAGAGTTTTGTATCCTCAAATATAAAAGTGTCATCTGCTTTATTGGAAGAGATTTCAGGAAAGGTACTGTTTTGGGCTACAGATTCCAGAATCCCCAATGGCTATGGTGGCTGGGGGGTTTTGGGATCTGTAGTACCAACAGTCACTTTCTCAAGCTCTGGGTTGGTCCATCCAATTATGACTAGCAACATGTCTCCAAGGGCTAAGGTACATGCAGCAGTGCTGGGAATGGAAACCATTTTGCAAGCGTTGTTGTTGTTGTGTGCCTTCAAGTTGTTTCCAACTTATGAAACCCTAAAGTGAACCTATCATAGGGTTTTGTTTGCCGGTTTCTTCAGATGGGGTTTGCCATTGCCATCCCCTGAGGCTGAGAGAGTGTGATTTGCCCACGGTCACTCAGTGGGTTTCTATGGCTGAGTGGGGATTTGAACCCTGGTCTCCAGGGTCATAGTCCAATATCCAAACTACTATATGACACTGGCAGACTCTAAATACTATGCTGGTCCAAGCTAGAGTAGATCAATTCATTCAATGGGATTTACAAAAGTACTTCATTCAGCACTTAATGGAAGGTCTGCTGTAATTAGTAGTGGCCATCAGATATAGAAAGAGACAGTGTGGTGTAGTGGTTTGAGTACTGGAGACCAGGGTTGGTACCACCACTCAGCCATGGAAACTCACTCAGTGACTTTTGGGAAGTCACACTGTCTCAGCCTCAGAGGAAAGCAAGGCAAACCTCCTCTGAACAAATCTTGTCAAGAAAACCCTGCAATATGTTCACCTTAGGGTCATCATAAATCAGAAATACCTTAAAGGCACACAGTAACATTCAGATTGACATCTATGTGTCTTCACCTGTTCAGAGTGAGCATGAATCAATTTTTATTGCTGTAACCTGCCCGGATTCCTTGTGATTGGGCAGGTTATATATTATTATTATTATTATTATTATTATTATTATTATTATTATTATTATTATTATTATTATTATTATTATTTGGTTTGTGTGTTGGGCAATGACTCTGGAGACCCTAGTTCAAATCTCTGCTCAGCCTTATAAACCCACTGGGTAACCTTGGGCAAATCACATTCTCTCAGCCTCAGAGGATGACAATTGCAAACTCCCTCTGAAGAAACGTGCCAAGCTGGTTGCCATAAGCTGGAAACAACTTGAAGGCACACAACAACAGCAGCAAATGCTGGCTTTCAATTCCTTCTAGAGTTCTTTTTTTAAAAAAAATATTTTGGGGTTTCCTTTCAGCTTCCTCAGAGTTCATGCCTAGAATCAGGAACTGGAAAAGTTACTTTTTTGATGACTTTCCCCTGCCTCCAGAGGTAGCCAGGTCAGTCTATTTCAGTATTGCAAAAGAGGAAGGAAAAGGTAGCCTTGACTTTTATTTATATCCTGCTTTTCTACTATAATAGCAATCAAAGCGGCTTACATGTTAAAACAAACCAATACAACACATAATAACAATACATGATAATATATCTCGCACACACACCCCTTAAAAAGAATTAAACTTAGCACAGTTTAAAAAATAGTCTGTTAAAATCTATTAATAGCAAATGGTCTGTTGGGCAGAGAGGCAGCATAATACAAGTGTAAGGGGGTTTGTTTATAGCCGAGGAATTCTATTCAGGAAAGGCACAACTATTTATGTCACAACTATTACCATGAGATTCAGTGGTAGATGGGAATTATGATTTATAAGAAGCATGAGTAAAAATAAAAACATTCCTAAGGATTCTGTATGGTTTGGTATGGGAGGAGGTCAATGGAGGGGGTGACACCATGAGATGATGATGATGATGATGATGATGATGATTTATTTTTATCCCACCCCTCTGCATAACACAACCAACATTAAAATATACATTCCATATCCCACAATCCCATCCCCCTTAAAATACTATTAAACAGTTGACAATTTAAATCACACTTAAAATAATAACACTATTAAACAATAACTGCACCGGGTGACGCTAACCCTAGTGATGCCACCGCTGGCAAAAGGATGATAGAATCACAAAATCCTAGAGTTGGAAGGGACCTCATGGACCGTTGACTCTATCCTCCTGCTCAGTGCAGGGTCTCCAGCAAAACCATCCCCAAAAGGTCCAGCCTCCTTTTGAGGACATCCAGAGAAGGAGACCTCACCACCTCTCCAGGATCCATCGCCGAACCACTCTCACTGTCCAGAAATTCCTTCTAATGTTCATCAAAATCTATTCTCCTGTAACTTACAACCATGAAACCTGATGTAGCCTCTGGGCAGCAGAGGACACACCTGCCCCCTTATCTCTGTGACAGCCCTTGGGATATTTAAGGAGTGCAATCACAGAATCCTAGGGTTGGAAGAGACCCCAAGGACCATCCAGTCCAACCCCCTGCCATGCAGGAACTCTCAATCAAAGCATCCCCGACAGATGGCCATCCAGCCCCTGTTTAAAAGCCTCCAAAGAAGAAGACTCCACCACACTCCAGGAGTGTTTTCCACTGTCAAACAGCTCTTACTGTTAGGAAGTTCTTATTAATGTTGGGGTGGATTCTCTTTTCCTGCAGCTTGAATCCAATGCTCCAAGTCCTATTCTCTGGAGCGTCAGAAAAGAAGCTTGCTCCATCTTCAAAATGACATCCCTTCAGATATTTAAACAGGGCTATCATATCATCTCTTAACCTTCTCTTCTCCAGGCTCATATCTCCCCTCCATCTTCTCTTTGCCAGGTTGAACATACCCAACTCCCTCAACTGTTCCTCATTGGTTTTGTTTTCCATACTTCTTAACATCCTTGCTGCCCTTCTCTGAACCTGCTCCACATCCTTCCTAAAATTCCTTCCTTGTCTACATCCTTCCTAAAATGAGACACCCAGAATTGAACACAGTATTCCAGTGAAACCAGATTAGAGTGGGGCTACTACAATTACTTCCCTTGACTTGGAAATGATGGTTCGATGAATGCAGATTAAGATATTAGTTGCCTTCTTTGCTGCAGCATTACACTCTTGGCTCCGATTCACCGTATGATCATTCAACAGTAA